TCCCCCTGCCCCCACCCCCTCCCTTACCACCCACTCCGCCCCCTCATTCTTCCCCCACCCCTCAATACCCGGCAGAAACTATTTTGCCCTTATCTCTAATTTTGTATGACATTCTTATCTGTAAATACTTCAGTGTACCTCTCTAAGGATTTTCTCTCATGTATCTTATAATACTATTATACATCTAAGAAAATTTGTAATTTCATCAGATATTAAGTCCATATTCAGATTTTCCTGAATGTCTCAGCTCCTCTCTCCCTCTCTATTCAGGGTCCAATCAAGGTCCATGCAGTGGATCCTTTCTTAAGATGGTAAGAGTTTAGGTCAGTCCAAATGCGCACACCCTGCTCAGGGGTCAGTGCTCACAGTGTTGCCATCTCTATTGTTGCCAGCATGATCCTGGAGGTCCTAAGCAAAGGAATCAGACAAGGGAAGTGCATGCAATAGCACAGTTCTGGAAAGTCCAGACTGCTACACAGTGCCTGGGGAAGTGCTTCAAAGAGATGGCTACATGTGGAAGAAAATGTTTGGCAATGAAATTTACCAGACATGCCAGGCCTGTAGGAAGACGATTTGTAAGACCTTCAAAGAGATCTCAAGCATAGCTGGACACATAGAGAGACCACTATGTCCATTGCAAAGATGCCAGCTCTCTGCATTAACGTAAATGTTTACTATGTTCTCAGGAGAGCTTATTGGGTGGGATATTGCAGAAACTGATTCTAAAGTTCAAATGAAGAGAGCAATCAGTGGTCAGAAAATTGTTGAAAGCAAAGGTTATGAAAGAAGACTAGCCTTACCCTATATTGGAGAGGTTATGAATCTGCAGTATTTGAAACTGCTTCTGGTGACAGAAGGAGTCGGGCGCCAGTGGCTCACACCTGTAATCCTAGCTACTCAGGAGGCAAAGATCAGGAGGATCTCAGAAGTTAGCCCCAGGCAAATAGTTCTAGAGACTCTATCTTGAAAATACCTTACATAAAAAAGGACTGGCAGAGTGGCTCAAGTGGTAAAACACATGCCTTGGAAGTGTGAGGCTGTGAGTTCAAACCCCAGTATCACCAAAAAAAAAAGATTTCAGAAGCCAGGTGCCAGTGGCTCACATCTGTAATCATAGCTACTTGGTAGCCTGAGATTGGGAGAATCTCAGTTTGAGGCCAGCCTAGGCAAGTAGTTCAAAAGACCCCATTGCCAAAATAACTAGAGCAAAATGGACTAGAGGTGTGGCTCAAGTGGTAGAACACCTGTTTTGCAAGAGCCTGCTTTGCAAGGGTGAAGCCCTGAGTTCAAATCCTAGTCTTACCAAAGGAAAAAAATCAGAAATCAGGGGAAAAGGAAGAGAGATTATCAGAGTTGCCATATGGAAAAACACAAAGTTGGACCCTTGCTTTACCAAAATTTATCCTATATCAAAATTAATTCCAGAGGGATCAACAGTTGTTTTTGATTTTGCTTTTGTTTTGCAGTTCTGGGATAAAAGCTAGGGGAGTCTCACACGCTAGACACATGGTCTACTACTGAATGTGTACTACTGGCCTGATCAACAATTCTTAAGTGTGTAAGATTAAACAATAAACTAGAGGAAAACATGGGGAGCTGTTTTATGATGCAATCTGAGAAGGAAAAAGCCTTTTTAGGTTTGACACAAAATGCAATGGCAAGAAGAGAATATGATAAATTTGACTACATTAAAATAAGGATAACCAGGTTGGGCTAGCGTAGTGGCTCAAGTGCTAGAGCACCTGCCTGGCAAGTATGAAGCCCTCAGTTCAAGCCCCAGTACCACTAAAATGAAGGAAGGAAGGGAGGGAGGGAGGGAGGGCCTGATAGTGCATCCCTGTAATACAAGCACTCAGGAGACTGAGGCATAAGGATCTCAAGTTTGAGGACAGCCTGGGCTACACAACAATCCAAAACAAAACAAAAAGAAAAGCAACAATAAACAACAAAAAAACCCAAAGACAGATTTTGGCATGGCAGAAAGTTTCAGAAGATGAAAAGGTGGTAACAGCCAGGCATCAGTAGCCCATGCCTGAACTCCTAATTACTTGGAAGACTGAGATCAGGAGAATTGCAGTTTGAGGCCCAGCCCAGGCAAAAAGTTAGGGAGAACCCTAACTCAACCAGTAGTTGGGTGCAGTGGCATGCACCTGTCATTACAAGCTGGGTGGGAGTCTGTGACTGTGAGGATCAAGGTCCAAGCTGGCCTGGGCAAAAAGTGAGAGACCTTGTCTCCAAAATACCCAAAGCAAAAGGCAGGAAATGGCTCAAGCAGTAGAGCACCTATAGCAAGCATGAAGCCCTGAGTTCCAACCCCATACTGCCAAAAAAAAAAAAAAAAAAAAGTTAGGCTTATCCAAGAAATGACAGATTTCTTCTAGTGAGTAAGAATGAATAAGAAAGTTTAAAAAAAAAACTAGCAAAGATTCTGGACTATTCAGAAAAAAATAATAGAAGTAATTCTTAACATATGATGAGATTTTTCTATCCCATTCACAATAAGGTTTGTTCCATCATGGTAGCAGAGTTACAGCCAGTGTCTTCCTGGGTTATGAAGATGGGGTGGAAGGAAGCCACCTAGCCCCAGTGTGGGGAATGATGTAAGGAAGAACAAATGGGCAGAACTGTCAAAGTGTGAATGTGTGTCAACCCTTTGACCCAGCAGTTGCATTAGTGGGAATTAGTCCTACCAAGACACAGACACAGAATATGGGGTGAGGCTATCCATTTTGTGAAATAACTGGGACAGTAGAAGTAACCTAATGTACCCCAGAAGGAGCGGGTTAAATAAGTGATGACAGCCTTTACACGTGAGGAAGCTTGTGTATGGGTAAGAGTTGGCTTCCAAGATTTATTGTAAAGTGAAAACATAAAATGCACAACAGCTGGGTGCAGTGACTCATGGCCTGTAATTGCAGCTACTTGGGAGGTAGAAATCAGGAGGATCTCATTTCGAGGCCAGCTCAGGCAAAGAAACCCAAAAAAATGTGAGAGGGACTGGAGGTGTGGCTCAAGAGAGAGCTTCTGCCTAGCAAGCACAAAGCCCTAAGTCCAAACCCCAGCACTGCCAAAAAGAAAAAACCCAAGAGACCTTATTTGTAAAATAATAGCAAAAAAAGTGTTGGAGGCATGGCTAAAGTGGTAGAGCACCTGCCTAGCATGCTCAAGGCTCAGTTCAAACCCTAGTCAGCCTCCCCACCCGCCAGAAAAAAAAAAAAACCCATAATGCAGCTGCCTTGCCCTGCCCTGCCCTGCCCTGGTGAGGGAACCAATTAGACTTTGGGAGCTAAGGTGCCAGAGGATTTCCACCACCACCTTTTATAGATTATAAATCTCGTATCATGTATGTTATTTAATCAAAACACAAGTACAATGAAAAAAAGTTCTTATTCCATCTCCTAGATGCTGGATGTCAGATTCAGTCTTCAGCCCTGGGACCAGGGGTGAAGGGTTTAGAGGGGTTAGGGAGTGTAGCTCAGTGGTAGAACACAAGTAAAGCACTGAGTTCTACCCCAGCACCATGAACTAATAATAACGGTAGTAGTAATAATAATAATAAATCTTCATCTCCTGCACTTATCTCATGATATCTAGTTGGTGCCTCCACTTGGCTATCTCACAAGCTTCTCACACTTTCCATGCCATGACAAAATATGACTGTCCTTTCTAAACTCGTTCCTCCTGAATTTTCCCCTGTTCACCCAGATGCTGCATCCAGCAGAGCACTTAGAGCCCTCCTAGAATCAGTGTGTCAGCAGGTGCTTTCTGCTGTGTCCCAGCCCTAACTCAGCTGCAGCTTTCTAGCCACCTTGCCTTCCCTAGGGTCGCTCCTCCTAACTGCTCTCTTCACACCCCTTTCTCCAGCCCCTCTACTCTAGGCCAACAAACCATCAGTTCAGGTCACTCCCAATAAAATTCCCCTATAGCAATCCTATCTTGCTTGGATTTCAGTGCACATGCTACCTTGACCTAGAGGTAGCAGGGCTCTCTCTGACCTGCCTGACCCTCCCTCACCTCCGGGTCACTCTCCTGGCTTGGCTATTTTGAGCACTACTCTCCTCTGCCCCGGGATCTGTGCACCTAGATGCCTTCTGCCTGACATGGGCTCTTTCAGCCTCACTCTTGAGTCTCATTTCCTTAGAGGATTCTGTCCCTGCCCCGTCTCCAAGCTCCAGGGCATTGTTCCCAGGTCATATACCCTTTGAGTTCCTTCTTGGCATTTTCTCCATTTTGTTTCTTTTTCTTTTCTTTCTTTATTGCAGTTCTGGGCATGGAACCCAAGGTCTCACACATGCTAGGCAAGTGCCCTACACCTGCAGCCCTAGTTTCTTTCTTTTTTGCTTATTTGCCTCCTTTGGTATCATTAAGCTTTTTTTTTCTTTTTTTAGTAGTGAGCCCTGAACTCACCTTAAGCCATTCCACCGCCCTTTTTTGTGAAGGTTTTTTAAAATTTTATTTATTTTTGAGATAGGTTCTCATGAACTATTTGCTCAGGCTGGTTTTGAGCCATGATCTTTGCCTCCTGAGTATCTGGGATTACAGGCGTGAGGCACTGGTGCCCAGCAGTATCATTAAACTTTTATATCGCTCCTTCTCTTGGTATTTGATAGGAGCTCATTGTTTCCTATTAATTAATATATTCTTTTCAAACTTGGTCTGGAGTTGCTGCTGTTCTGACTTGGAAACTGCTGTAAGTGGATGAAGCAGCCAGCAAGCTGGGCATGGGCCTGCCCTAGTAAGGCACGTGTGGGACTCCTGCAGGCCCATGGAAAGGGAGACCAGTTGATTTCTAGGATGGCTGCCCAGGCTTGGTCTGGCTCCTCCTACATGTAGACTGACTCCATGTGTAGGCTGTGTACTCAGAGCACAGAACAGTCAGCATTTTATCATGCACACTCATAACCAGCCCTGCCACTGGCTCTTGGTCCCTTCTGAATGTTGTTTGTAGCCTGAGCTGTTATACTGACTCGTGTAACCTGCCTTGTCTCTTTGCTTTGCAGAGGGATGTTTGCTGGGGGATTAAAGGAGATGGAACAGGAAGAGGTCCTAATCCACGGTGTGTCCTACAATGCTATGTGCCAAATCCTGCACTTCATATACACCTCTGAGCTGGAGCTCAGCCTCAGCAACGTGCAGGAAACACTGGTTGCTGCCTGTCAGCTTCAGGTGAGGCTTGCCGCATGAGGCAAGGCAGACCCATACCACTATGGGGTTTCCCATACATTTGTGCTGCCTGCTGGGCAGTGGCATTGGTGGGGGTGGGTCAAGAAGATCAGGAGGTTAAGAATTGAAGGAGGTCATGGAGCGGGGAGGGCACCTTCGTGTTGAGCCGTGGGAGCTAAAACAGAGTGGTTCCCAGTGCTCCTGGCCCAACCTCCTCTCTGCCTCCGCCTTTTACTTTTTGCTGCTTCCTTCCTCTGCCTGGTTTCCCTGCCACAGTGAGGCAAGTGGTCCAGCTCTGAGACTGGTATTTGTGATGGCCTGTGTGTTGTGATGTCTGGCAATGGTGAGCCTGCAGCACATGCAGGCCTTTTCTGCCCACCCTCTATGTTTGGCCACTCACATCTCTTTTTCTTTTCGAAATAGAGTCTCACCGTGTTGCCTACACTGACCCCAAACTCACAGTCTTTCTGCCTCAGCCTCCCAAGTAGCTGGGATTGTAGACGTATACCACTAGGCCTAGCCCTGTCCCTTTAAAATATTTGTTTTCTGAGGCTTTGACAATGTGCTTTACATTTCAGAAGTTTCTGTTGAATCTGAGTGGTATGGGTACAGTTACAGAGGGCTGGGCCTACAGGTGCTTTTTAACTGCTAGTCAGAGTTACCACTTAACTACCTTTCTTGAAATGAAATGCTGTACTGAGTTCATCATTCTGACCTTTTTCTCAGATGATAGCATGTTTGGAGCAACTAGAAAAAAACTCAAGTCACAGGAAAACCATCCTGTTTGAGGGATATCTGAAGGCCCTACCAGCACAGCAGTGCCATGGTATCACTCCAGGACATGTGCTTATTGGGCTAGTCTGAGCACAACTAACCTTGTACTTGCATGAGGGGTGAATGAGCCAGGGCAGCCTTTACAAACAGAAGACTTTCTTATGTTTTTTTTGGCTCAGCGATCTCTTCTGTTCCACCTCCCTGTCATTGTTGCTTTGGTATCCCTCATCCAGTTCTCCAGCCTCCCAGAACTGCCTCTCCTCGGTGACCTCAGAATATTTCCCCCTGGTGCTGTCCACGTCCTCTTCTATGCCTGCGCCCTCCAGGTGCTCTCCCCTCAGTCTTTCTATTCTGTGTGTTCTCTGACCACTCTTCCAGTACCCTGGGCTCAGAGCCTCAGGCTCCTTGAGCTTTGTACCATCTTCATTCCCTATATCCAAGTTTGGATATGTCATCTTCCTCATTCTTGTTCATCACTGTCTCTCGTTTCTATTTTCACTTCCTTTTCTTTTGTCCGGATTTCTATCTCTATTTCTGCTGCCTTCTTCTCCTGTATGCATCACTGAGGCACACTGTCACCAAATCATCTTTCCCATCACCACTTTTCCTCTCACCCTCAGCTTGGAGGCCTTCAATCTCTTCTCTTCTATTTGACTTTTGTGTGTGAGCACCCTGGGCCATCTGCCCCAGTGCTGCAAAGGCTGCCTTAGGGGCAGCAGTAGGCTTTGGGCTTTTTGTTTGTTTCTTTGTTTTGTTTTTTGGCAGTACTTTTTGAACTCAGGGCTTCACGGTTGCAGGCACTCTACCATGTGAGCTATGCCTCCAGCCCAAAGATTTTTTTGTCCATGTTTCTAAACTTTTTTTTTTTTTTTGGTAGTTCTGCAGTTTGAACTAAGGGCCTCACACTTGCTAGGCAGATGCTTAACCACTTGAGCCACTCAAACAGTCCTGGCTTTGTTTTTAACATACTTTTTTTGTGGGGAAGCAGGGTGGTACTGGGGTTTGAACTCAGTGCATCATGCTTGCTAGGCAGGTGCTTTACCAGTTGAGCCACTCCACCAGCTCATCAGAGGCAATTTTTTTGAGACAGGTTCTCACTATGTACCAGGCTGGCCCTGAACTTGGGATCTCCTGCCTCAGCCTCCCCAGTACTGTGATTATAGTAGATGCATGCCACCATGTTTGGCACCAGGTGTAGTTTTTTTTTTAACATATACAAGTTTTCTTTGGCATAAAGTATGGAGTCTGCAGGCCTACCAGATCGTGTTTGTTCCTGTAGTAACTATTGGTGGCTTGTCCCCCTGTCCTATGTCCTGGACTAGTTCTGTTATCAGACACTTGGCAGTGTCCCCTGAGACTTGTGTCTGAATCCCAGTGAAACTGTGTTCATTGTATGATTCCATGCAAATAATTCCCTTCTCTGAATCTCTTGTTGGGCTCCTGAATGGGCCTGCTCTTCTAAAAAGAGGATATGAAAGAGAAAGGATGGGAAGCCATGAGTTCTTGGTGTGGAACGCCTGGTTCTTTCCAGGAAATTGTTACTAAAGCTCACACAGAGCTGTTGGATCTCACATTCTGCCCAGAACCTGGTCTTCAGGGCCCGGGCCCAAGACAGAAGTAGCATTTTAAGAAGAAGTGACAAAGCAGAAGTGGCTGCTAAGGGATAAAACAAGTGGTCAAGTGAAGACTTTCAGGGTTTAAGAGAGCATCATGGGGACATCTCACTTGGGGTGCCCATATCCCCAGTAGCTTGTGAGTATTCATTCAGCCCTTAGAGTATCACCTGGCAAGCAAGCATGAACTGTATTTTGAATTAAGGAAAAAGCAGATTTTAAATGTTTATTAATATGCTGCAAATACCAGCAAAACCCCTCATGCTGTGGTTACTTTATTGATGATGCTGTTAGTCTGATACAACATCCCTTGGGATCCTCAGGGGACTGGTTCTAGGATCCCCTGTAGGCACCAAAATCCAAGGATGCTCGTCTCTTTAAAAGTGTATAGTACTTGTATATAACCTATACACATCTTCTCTATACACTTTGAATCGTCTCTAGATTATTGTAATACCTAATCCAATGTAAGTGATATATAAATAGTTTTTATATTGTGTTGTTTAGGTAATAATGACAAAAAAGTGTTACATGTTCAATGCAGACACAATGGGTTATTTCAAATATTTTTGATTGTTTAATATTCAATATGCAAATATTCAATATTCAAATATTATTTATTTCCTCAAAAGTGAAACCTGCAGATAGAGCCAACTGTATTTGCATTTTTAGAGAGACTCTAAAATCCTATTTTCCTAAAGAATTTATCAGTACCTGGTTTGTTTTCCCAGGCAGTTTCCTCTAGAACCCTTCCCTTTGTCTCCCTTTCTTGTGCCTGTCACCCATGGTGTCCTTTAACAGCCTTCTGGGACCATGGGGCCCATTGTCAGCTCCCTTCCTCTCAGTGCCATTTCCTTACATGCCTTCCTTTCCTCCCACTGGTGCTTCTGTGCAGGTGGAGATGGGTAATTCTACCACCTGGGGACCCTGCACTCACTGGAGTCCAGTGGGTTCTTGACTCAAGGGAGGGCCCCAGGATAGCTTGCCAGCTTTTCAAGAATTCCAAGTCAAGGACTTGAGATGTGTGCTGGGTGAGTCTGGAGCACATGGTTGGTGAGTGGCATGGGGCCTGGACCTGGTAGGGTCACTGGCCTGTGGCTTGGGCTGAGCTGCCCATTATGAGAGTTGGTTATGTTTGTTGTTCCCAGCACTTCAGGAAAGGCAGGCTCTTTTAGAGAGTCTGTGGGTAGGGGCAGAGAGTGGTCCCAGGCCCCTTCCAAAGCAGAGATGTCTGACACAGTGACAGTTTTTATGTGAAGGTTTGTGCTGTTTCTTGCTTCTCTGAAGAGCTGGTACTTTTGATCTGAAAGGTAGTTGAGATATATCAAGGGTTCTCTCTGTGGCAAGTAATTCCTGTGCACTCATCCTCAACATATTTCTTCTCACTTTATTTCTATTATGTAGATAAGAAAACTAAGAATAAAAAAAAATGAAAAAGGAAACAGGCCCAGAGAAGTTAAGAACATGCCACACATCTCCAAGCCAAGATTTAAACCCAGCCAGTCTGCAGAAAGCCTCAGGCATGTCTAGTGTGACAGGTTGGGGGCTTCTACTTTGCTTCTCCATACCCTAGGACCAGTGCAAGGGCTGTATTTCTGCTGTCATCCTGTCTTGCATCCCCATATGCTGTTCTCCAGTCAAGACTTGAATGGTTGTCATTCTCTTTGCAGATCCCAGAAATTATCCATTTCTGCTGTGATTTCCTCATGTCCTGGGTGGATGAAGAGAACATCCTCGATGTCTACCGGCTGGCAGAGCTCTTTGACTTGAGCCGCCTGACTGAGCAGCTGGACACTTATATCCTCAAAAACTTTGTGGCTTTCTCCCGGACTGACAAGTACCGCCAGCTTCCCCTAGAGAAGGTCTACTCCCTCCTCAGCAGCAATCGTCTGGAGGTGTCCTGTGAACTGAGGTGTATGAGGGGGCTCTGTTGTACCATTACACCCTGGAACAGGTGCAGGCTGACCAAATCTCCCTGCATGAGCCTCCCAAGCTCCTCGAGACCGTGCGGTTTCCCCTGATGGAAGCTGAGGTCCTTCAGCGGCTGCATGACAAGCTGGGACCTAGCCCACTGCGGGACACAGTGGCCAGTGCCCTTATGTATCACCGGAATGAGAGTCTGCAGCCCAGCCTGCAAGGTCCCCAGACGGAGCTACGTTCAGACTTCAAGTGTGTTGTAGGCTTCGGGGGCATTCACTCTACACCATCCACTGTCCTCAGTGACCAAGCCAAGTACCTGAACCCCCTGGTAGGAGAGTGGAAGCACTTCACGGCCTCCCTGGCCCCCCGCATGTCCAACCAGGGCATCGCGGTGCTCAACAACTTCGTGTACTTGATCGGAGGGGACAACAATGTCCAAGGATTCCGAGCCGAGTCCCGATGCTGGAGGTGAGAAAGGGAACTTGTCAGTAAATTTAACAAGGATTGTTTCGTCTTCTCCCAGTAGTTTTGAACCAACTCTGGGTTTTACCTCTCAGTTTGTAAGTTTTGCAATCCAAATATCTGGATTAAAATTTGTCATTTTAGGCCAGGCGGCTGGTAACTCACCCCTATAATCCTAGCTAGGGAGGCAGAGATCAAGAGTATCAAGATTCAACACTAGCCTGGGCAGATAGTTCTTGAGACCCTATCTGAAAAATACCCAACACAAAAAAGGGCTGGTAGAGTGGTTCAAGTAGTAGAGTGCCTGCCTAGCAAGCATGAGGCCCTGAGTTCAAATTCCAGTTCCACAATATTTTAGTCAGCTCACACAGCTATAATAAATACCATAGACTGGGTGGCTTAAACACCAAATATTTATTTCTCTATCTGGTTCTGTGAAATCTGATGTCTTGATGTCAGCCAGTTCAGTTCTGGTGAGGGCCCTTTCTTGCTGTGTCCTCACATGGTAGAGAGAATAAGCTCTAGTATTGTTCTCTTCCAGGAGATTAATCCCATCCTGGAATGGGTTGGGGAAAGAGAGACAATTGGGGGCTTCAGGCTCACAGATCCTGGCCCCTCGTAGCTCTGGGATCATATGTGTCTACCCAACAGCCTGTGTGTTTCATATGTGCCTAACAGACTTCCAGACCTGGGCACAGGGAGAAAGGGAAAAAGCCCTCAGGAAGTGGGCCGAGTCTGGGGCAAGGGATGCTGGGAAAATGAGTGTGGACTTGGCCTGTGAAGGGCCTCAGGTACAGGGCTCAGGCATTGGATTTTGGAGTGTGTGAGCAAGACCTTTGCTGGTATGAGTGGGAGTAGATAGATGGGGGCACAGGAGTTTGTTGAGAACAGGTGAGTAGCCAGGTGGATGTGTCTGAGAGGCATTTGCAAGAGTGAGTCCAAACTACAGAGAGAGCAATGAGTGACAGGTGGCAATGCTGGGTAGCTGAGATCAGACTTCTGGCAAATCAGAAGCTCTGTGTAGGCAGATGCAGGGCTATAGCAAAGGAACTGAGTGACAGCCTTTGTAGACTTTTGAGGTGGGCAGTGAGGAGGGGTTGGCTCTGTGCAGGGGTAGGGGATGATGCTCCTTGCTTGGAGACTAGACTTTTTTTTAATGACAGCAGGAAAAGAGTTAGAAAGCAAGGTTTTGACTTGCAGACAGCTGCATTGTCTGTGAAATGGTCCTGATGAGGGAGTTGTAGGTTGAGAAAGAGGTCAGCAGAGGCCAAAGTTCCTCCCTCCATGTCTTGCATACTCTCCCTTCTCTATGTGGCTTGGGCCTGTGCTATTCAATATTACAGGCTGTCCCACAGGTGGCCTTAGCCTAGCAGCCTTCCTAGGCCTAGACAGACTCTTCTGGCCTTCTGTAGTGTCTTTCCTCCCTAGAATCCCACAGAATTCTGCCTTCAGGAGTGCACAGTTCAGGCAGGAGTTAGCACGTCCACTTCCGTGGAAGCTTCCATCAGGGGTGGGAAAGAGAGGATGCCCCAGCTGGGAGGTCAGGAAAGCCATGGGAGTAGAGAACAGGACAATTACTTAAGGTGCCTGACAGACTGATGGGAGCCTAGCACATTAGTGGTTTTTTGTTTTTTTGGTTTTGCCCAAACAGGCTTTGAACTCAGGGCAAGCCTCTACCACTTGAACTCAGGGCAAGCCTCTACTCTAGCCCTTTTTTGCTTTAGTTAGTTTTCAGGTAGGATCTCATGTTTTTGCCTAGGGATGGCCTCAGATCATGATCCTCCCACCTACAGCCTCCCACATAGCGGGACCATAGACATGTGATACCTTGCCAAGATTATTGATGGGGATGGGGGGGGGGTCTCGATAACTTTTTGCCCAAGCTGGCCTTGAACTGCAGTCCTCCCAATCTCTACTTCCCCAGTAGCTGGGATTACAGCATAAACCACTATGCCCAGCCAAATGGTGAGTATTAACAAGGCTGAGGCTGTGGTGGGTACTATGTGCAGACCACATGTAATAGTGTGTTAGGGGAGACTGATTCGCCTGTCTGTCTGAGAGGCTGTAACTAGGAGCCTTCCTGAATTGGGGACAGGTAAGAAAGAGGTAGCTGTAACAGCCTTTGGGCAGCCTAGCATAGACAGTTGGGTGGGCTACAAACTCTCCCAAAGGTTACACTGGGAAGGGGCCAGCATTATGGGCAGAAACCCAGGAGACTGCTGACCCCATTTTCCAGACTGTGCGTATGAGCACACCTATGTTCAGGTGTGTATCACCTGCTGGGTCAGCATGTACTAATGGGTGGGGGCAGCTGGGGGCTGTTCAAGGTAGGCTGTGGCATAGGGGGAAGAGGAGGGGCAGGAAATGTTGGCCTAAAGGGCAAGCTGCCCTCTTGGTCAGTGATGTGCTGTCTTCGTGTCTCTCAAAGGTACGATCCGAGGCACAACCGCTGGTTCCAGATCCAGTCCTTGCAGCAGGAGCATGCAGATCTGTGTGTGTGTGTAGTGGGCAGGTACATCTATGCCGTGGCAGGCCGAGACTACCATAATGACCTGAGTACTGTGGAGCGCTATGACCCTGCCACCAACTCTTGGGCCTATGTGGCCCCACTCAAGAGGGAGGTAAGGAAGCCCTCCAAGAGGGGCCTTCTGCTAGATTGCCCTTTCCCGGGCCGTGCACTCAGGCTCAGGTGTCAAGGCTAGTACTAGTCCCAGGCCAGGAAATTAGGCCAAGATGCTGCACTGAGTGCTTTAGTGGAGCCATATAGGGAGAGGGTACATCAAGGTTCCAGATTTCATTCCTCAGACCAGTGGCCCCATGCTGAGTTCTTGCCATAGCATGCTGATCCATGAAGTTGCTTAATTCTGTAGATGAAAACCTCCTTTCTTGTCCCCTGTCCTAGCTGAGATGAGCTGGAACATTTCCAAAAATATCATAAACAGGAGGGACCCTGAGAGAGGAGGGCTCTCAGCAGCCTGGTTCACAGGCCTGTGCTTGGACATCTGTCTCATAGGCGCCCTGGAGGACAGGGCTTTCCAGGAGCCAAGAAAAAGATGGTCTTGAGGTTTTATTTTGTTTATTTATGTTTTTTTTTTTTTTTTTCAGTATTGGAGCTTGAACTCAGGGCCTATACCTTGAGCCACTCTGCGAGCCCTTTTTCGTGTTGCCTTTTTTGGAGATAACCGGGCTGGCTTCAGACCTCGATCCTCCTGACCTCTGCCTCCTGAGTAGCTAGGATTACAGGCATGAGCCACCGGTGCCTGGCTATTTATGTATTTATTGAGTTACTGGGATTTGATCTCTTGCTAGACAGGTACTCTGCCACTTGAGCCACTCTGTCAGCCCTCTTTTTGTGTTGGGTATTTTCAGGATAGGGTCTTGTGAACTATTTGCCCTGGCTGGTTTCGAACCAAAATCCTCCTGATCTCTGCCTCTTGAGTAGCTAGGATTACAGGCATGAGCCACTGAAGCCCTGCTTGTTTTTGTATTTTTAAAATATCACGTACATCTGAATAACACTACTTTGCTTTATTCCAATTTGGAGATGTTTAAAATTATGTTCATTATGCAGAAGTGATGCTTTAGGGAGGTGCTTTTCATTTATTGTGTAGCTCTGGGGTACTGGAACCTGGCCCCCAAATCAGCAGTGGAATCCCAAGGGAGGAAGGGGCCTTGCTGGCCATGGTTTTCCAAGGCCTAGCCACTGAGAACAGGGTATGCATCCTGCTAGTGCCAGTAGTGCTGTTTGCAAAGCACCTGTTGTGTGCTGACACCTCTGGAGGTACCCGAGCACCGCAGAGGCAGAGGATGATGTGAAGGCCACACACACTGGCTCTGCCCCAGACTTGGCCCACACTTGCTCAGGGACCTTGGCAGGAGTTCTGACCTTTGGGAACTTCTTTCCACTGCCTGCCATTTTTCTTTCTTTCTTTCTTTTTGGTGGTACTAATGCATGAATTCAGGGCCCCATTCTTGCTAGGCAGGTTCTACTATATGAGCCACTCCATCAGCCATTCTCTCTCGCTCTTCTCCAAACCTCCAGGGACTGAGATTTGACCCCAGTGGGCTTGGAGTGGGGTTTCCCTGATGGGTCCAGCTTCTATACTCAAGTCACTAGCCACAGCCCCAGCAGATTCCAGCCATCCTTCCTCACAGGCAGCTGCATGCTTCCAGCCATGGCCTGCTCCTTGCTCCTCAGCTTCTTTGGAGAAAGGAAGCCTCCGTGGAGGGATACTTCCCCAAATCCTAGAGAATGGAGCAGAGTTTTCATGCAAAAAGTCAGGTGGCCCTTGAGACTTGAGGAATCCCATTCCTAGAGTTCGGGAAGGGTGGGTGCGGGGAGCAGCTTGGTCAGCTTTGTCTGTGGCTGCAAGGGAAACTGCAGTTCTCTAGCTTGGCCACAGAGGGGCAACCTTGGCCTTCAAACAGCTTCACGGAAGCCAGTTCTCCTTCCTTCTTTCAGGCGTGTGCCTCCCATGTACCAAATCCTAGGGATCCCGTGGTGACAAGAAGTGACAAACCTGGTCACCCCCAAGGAGTTTATAGCCTTGCATGAGAGACCATCCAACAAATTAGTAAAGTAGTTACAACTGCAGTAAGTGGGATTAAAGAAATGAAGGAATTGAGCTGAAATTTTTCAGGAGGTGGGCAGGGTTCTTGCAGGTGAAGTGAAGATAAACTATCTGAGAAAGTGTCAGACCGAGACCTAAAAGAAAACAGGCAGCATTTGCAGGGGAAAGACTTTCCAGAGCAGGGACAACTTCAGTCTATCTGAGAGGAGGAAGTTTGGAGAGTGCTTGTGAAAAGCTGAGAGGAGCATGAGGAAAGGAGGCTGGGCCTGAGCAAGGCTGGGGCTGTGGAGGGAAATGGACAGGCTAAGGTGTGGTTTGGAGGTAACTCAAAATGGTTCATAGAACTAAATGTAAAAGTATAAAACTTTGTGTGTGTGCTGGGAATCAGATCCCAGGGCCCTTCATGTTAGGAAAGAACTCTACCACTGAATTCCATCTTTAGCCCTCGGTTTTTTGAGAAGGGTCTTGCTGTATAGCTTAGACTGGCTGGTACTTGCTATATAACCCAGGATAGCTTGGACTTGAGATCCTCCTGCCTCAGGCTCCCAAGAATGCCACCATACCTAGTTTAAAACTATAAAACTTTTAGAGGAAAAAAAAGCAGAAAAAAATTTTCAGGATCTAGGTGACATTTTAGATTTGATTTCAAACATGTGAGCCATAAAAAGAAAAATTGATAAATTGAACCTCTTCAAGACTAAAATTTTTTGTTTATAAAAGACCCTCTTAAAAATAAAATGAGGCCAGGTGCCAGTGGCTCATGCATATAATCCTGGCTACTTTTAGAGGCAGAGATCAGGAGGACCACAGTTCAAAGACAGGGCCTGGAAAATAGTTCAAGAAAATACCCAAAACAAAAAAGGGCTGGAGAAATGGCTCAAGTGGTAGAGCATCTGCCTAGCAAACATAAGGCCCTGAGTTCAATCCCCTGTGCCACCAAAAAAAAAAAAAAAAAAAAGATGAAGCTACAGAGTGAGAGAAAATATGTGCAAACCATGTATCTGACAAAGGACTAGTTTCCATATATATAAAGAACTTTCCCCAGGTACCAGTGACTCACATCTGTAATCCTAGCTAACTTGGAAGGCCAAGATCTGGAGAATCAAGGTTCAAGACCAACTAGGGCAAATAATTTGCGAGACCCCCATCTCCAAATAACCAGAGCAAAATGGACTGGAGGTGTGGCTCAAGTGGTACAGTGCCTACTTTGCAAGCATGAAGCCCTGAGTTCAAATCCCAGTCCCACCAAAAAATGTGGGGAATAGACCAGGTACAGGGGCACATGCCTATAATCCCAGCATTCAGGGGGTTGAGGCAGGAGGATTGTGAGTTTGAGGCTAGGTAGGGCTACATAGTGAGACCTGTCTCAAACATATAAAAAAGATTGCAAGAGACATTGCACTAAGGAGGCTATACAGATGGCAAATAAACATATGAGGAAATCCACAACATGGTGGGCTCCGGTGGCTCACGCCTGTAATCTTAGCTACTCAGGAGGCAGAGATAAGGAGGATCACAGTTCAAAGCCACCCTAGGCAAACACATTGTGAGACCCTATCTCAAAAAACACTTCACAAAAATAGGGCTGGTGGAGTGGCTCAAGGTGAAGGCCCTGAGCTCAAACCCCAGTACCCCCCACACACACATACAAAATATATATATAGACAACATCATTTGCCATCAGAGAAATGCTAATAAAGTCACAGTGAGAGAGCCACCTATCAGAATGACTGAAATAAAAAGTGCTAACACTCCATGCTGGTGAGCATGTGGGTACATTGTGTTGTTCTGCTTTGCTGGTAGAATGTAATTGGTACCCTCCAGAAAAGAATGACGGTTCCTTCTAATTACCACGCAGCTCAGCAGTTGCCTTCCCCTGCAGTTTATTCCCAGAGAAATGAAGACTTCTTTGCTCATAAATATTCATAGCATCCTTATTGGTAATAGCCAGAAACCGTAAACACATCAGATGTCCTTCAACAGGTGAGTGGTTAAATAATCTGAGGTAGACACACAGCAATAGAAAGAAACCAACTATGCATAAATGCAGCAACCTGGGAGAATCTGGGTAGGCCTAGAAGGCCAATCTAAGAAGGTTATGTGCTGGGCTGGCAGAGTGGCTCACATGTACAGCACCTGCCTAGCAAGTGTGAAGCCCTGAGTCCAAATCCATTAACCACACACAAAAAAAATTTCATAATATTCTTGAAATGACAACATTATAGAAATGGAGCAGAGATTTCGTGATTAATGGGGATTAGGTGTGGGGATTTGGAGCACAAGGCAAGTGGATATGACTATTGTCAACTTAAATTGAGTAATAGAGTGACCGACTCTCCAGAATAAAGTGTTCATTTGAGAATAGCAAGGGAGTGATTACGATCTGGAGATGTGCTGTGGTGGACTATTGGCACATCCAAGAGGGGCTCGTCAAGGGGAAGCTTTTTTTTTTCTTTTTTGTGGCATGGGGTTTGACCTCAGGGCTTTACACTTGCTAGGCAGGTGCTCTACCATTTGAGCCACTCCTCAAGCCCCAGGATAAACCTTTAAAGACAGCAGTCCACAAAAGCTGTTTTGGAATGAACCTCATTGACTGCAGGTGTTGGCAGCTATTCACAGGTAATGCTGGCTGTTACTAGGGAGGTGCCCCTATAGAAGAAGTAACTTAATGGATTCATTGGCATAGGTGCAGAGGTTCCTTCCTTCATGGCCTCCCAGCAGTGTTTGGTTTGGGTTCAACACAAGCAACTCCATTTTGGTACTAATAGCCTTTGCACTATTAAAAGGGCAGTTGGGGAATTCTGGTGGTGATGGAGAAGTTCTGGGACAGCATCAGTATCAGTCAGTATCCTGGTCATGATTTTGTAATAGAAACTCTCACCACTGAGGGAAGCTACATGAGGGGTACATGGGACCGCTGTTACTGCTTCCAACTACATATGCCTCTCTGCTTACCTCAAATTGAAAGCTTACTCAAGAAAATAAACCTTCCCAGACTGCCACTAGTGATGGGAAAAGATCCAATCCCTTGGTGCATGTCTTGCCTACTGTTTTGTCTACCTGTCCCGTTTCTTCCTGTGTTACCCAGAAGGCGTAAGGTTAGTGACCCTGTGACACAGACTTACAGCCTCCACACTCCAAGGAGCTCCTCTCCCTGGAAAACACATAGTGCCTCTTGTGGCCTGCTAGGTATGAGTAAGTGGATCCAGAGGGGACAGGTACAACATGAAGGATACACGTGCAAGTTTGTGGGCTGCACCGTGTGGACACAGCTCCCTAGAGTGGAGGTAGAAAGCCCATGGGAAGTTGAGTACCAGAATTAAGCAGTGTGTGGTGTGTTTTCCATACTTATCACTAAAGTGGTAGTGTTCCTTGTACATTCCTCCTTTGGAATCCACAGAGGATTGGTTCCAGAACCCTCCAAGGATACCAAAACCCATGAGTTGCCAAGTCCCTTGAATAAATTGGCCAGTGTTTGCATAAAATCTATACATATCCTCCTGTATACTTTAAATCATCTCTGGATTGCTTACCATACTTAGTACATTGTAAATACTGTGTAAACCGTTGTTACACAGTACTATTTAGGGGATAATGACAAGAAAAGAATGTCTATATATGTTCAGTACAGACGCAACGTATTTGAGTATTTTTGATCCACAATTGACTGACTCCACAGATGAGGAGCCTACAGGTACAGTGGGCCAACTGTATTTGATTTTGTGTCTCATTCTTTTCCTGCTCACATCAACTTTTATATCTGTAGATACTATGTGCAGACAGATCTGGAAAGCTGGGTCAGCAGGCCTCGAGGGTTGCTTAGCCAGTGGAGTGAAGGAGGGACAGAGGCCAACAAGGGCTGGTCATCATTGCCCATGTGTCATGACTGCAAAGGAGGCTTGATTTTCTTGGAATTTCCCCACCCAGATGTTTCCTTTAGGGGAAAAGGAGAAACAAAGATTATATTTGATCTCTGGGTCTATAGATGTGTTATCCTTATTGAGAAGTTAGGGTCACTGTGTAGGACAGTATGTCCAGCCAGAATCTAGGGAGCATTCTCCCCATCATGTGAGGAGCAAGCCACGATGTTGTGAAGCTTTGAAGTACTGCCAGGCACGTGTGCTGGCTGCCTTCCTCACTGCCCTTTTGCCTACTCCCTACCCACCCTGGCTCTCTCGGTGGCTCCATGCAGGTGTATGCCCACGCAGGCACCACATTACAAGGGAAGATGTATATTACCTGCGGCCGCAGAGGGGAGGATTACCTGAAAGAGACGCATTGCTATGACCCGGGCAACAATACCTGGCATACCCTGGCTGACGGGCCTGTCCGGCGTGCCTGGCATGGCATGGCTACCCTCCTCGATAAGCTGTATGTGATCGGGGGCAGCAACAATGATGCTGGCTACAGGAGGGACGTGCACCAGGTGAGCCAGGTCTGGGGCTGCCTACTCAAGTTGGCAGAGCCAGTTTAAGGTTCATAGTGAATTGAGTGGGAGGTACCAGGAATTCCCATATGGCTCCTGCCCCCACGCAGGCCCAGCTCCCCTGCTGTGGTTGTCTCCACTAGAGAGGCATATGTTATGGTTGATGAACCCCTATTACCACACCACCACCCTGAGTCCATAGCTGATGTGAGACTCATTTTTGGTGTTGCATGCTCTGTGAGTTTGCAGAAATGGGTAGTGATGTGTCCACATTAGAGTATCTTTTCATCTGAAAGAATTTTTTTTTTTAATTTTGAAGGTACTGGGGTCTGAACTGAGGGTCTTACACTCACTAGATAGGCACTTACCACTTGAGCCTTGCCTCCAGCCTTATTTTTTTAATGAGGTCTTCATAACTTTTTCCCCTGGACTGGCCTCAAGCCCCAATTCTCCTAACCTCTGTCTCCTGAGTAGCTAGGATTACACTGCACCCGGCTTAGAACCTTTGAAAAAAGAATGGAGAAGGATGAGAAAAGCACTCATACCTGGGTGACTGAAAACCTTGGGTTTTCATTCTGCCTGTGAATACTTCTGCCTATTTGTAGGCAAAGAGCACCCCAAACCAGATGTAGTGGTACATAGCTATAATTCCTGCCCTCGAGAGGTATAGTCAAGGCCAGCATGGGCTACATCATGAGATCCTGTCTCAAGACAAAACAAACAGAGCATCCCAGTATGCCCTCTCACTGACATTGGTCCTAGGCTTTCTCTAGTTTATTGCTCATCTTCATAACCACAACCTGCCCCATCCCTCCCAGTAGCTGTGTAGTATTCTGTCAAATTATTCCTCACACCGTCTCAAAAACCAAAACCAAAAATATTCCTCACCACGTTATGAGTAATACTTGCTGTGAAGAGCTTTTCAGGTATTTTGGATTTTCTTATGTTCATATAGAGGTTCTCAAAGTGTGATCCCAGACTAGCATCTGCTTCACATGGGAGTGCTGTTTTAGGGGAGGTGGTTCTTAGGCCCTGCCTTAGACCACTGATTTGGGAGCTAGGGGATAGGACTGGACCACCTGTGGTGAGAATCTGGGCCAACATACTAGTTTCCTATTACTGCCCTAACAAATCACCACAAACTTAGTGATTTCACATAAATTTATTCTTCATAAGTCTGGCAGGCTGAAATCAAGGTGTCATCAGGCCATCTTTCCTTCATGCAGAGGATCTAGGAAAGATTGGTCTGCCGCTCACTCAGCTGTATGCAGAATTCAGCCTCAGTGGCCACAGGACTGAAGTTCTGGTTTCCTTGCTGGTTGTCAGCTGATGACTTTTAGTGGCCTCTGTCCCTGGCTCAGGGCCACTTCATCTTCAAAGCCAGCAAGGGCAGGTTGAGTCCTCCTCACTTCCTATTCCTCTTGTCAGAATTCCTTTTCCACTTTTGAGGGCTTGTACAATTACAGTGCTCCTCCATTTATGATGGGGATGGAGTTACATCCTCATAACCCCATGATTAATGGAAAATATTCTTGTTCAAAAATGTGTTTAATCCACCTAACCGACAGAACCTCACAGCTTACCTCACAGTTGATCCCCTTGGCGTGGACTGGCTGACTGGAAGCTGCAGCTGGCTCCTTCTGTCCAGCATCTTGTAAGAGGATTATATCATGCATCACCAGCCCACAAAAAAGTCAAAATTTTAAAAAGTATATTTTCTACTGAATGTGTTGTCACTTTTTTTTGCACCATCATGAAGCTGAAAAATTGTAAGTTGAACCATCTTAAGTCTGTAAATGGGACCACCCAGAAAATTCACCCCCAAATCCACCTGACCTCAAGGTCCACACCCTAAATCCTACCTGCAAAGTCACTTTTGCAATATAAATTAACATTCATCACTTGTGGAGATTAGGACCTGGATATCTTGAGGGAGGGGCATTACTCTCCCTATTACAACTAGAAAACCAAACATCCCAATCAAGTAAGACTTTTATGTCTTTTTTTTTTTTTTTTTTGGAGACAGAGTCTCACTATATACCTAGGCTGGCCTCAAACTCACGATCCTCTTGCCTCTGATTCCAGAGTGCTGGAATTGCAGGTATGCACCACCAGGCCTGGACTGTGTCTCTGACTACCTATTGCCAAATCCCTCTCCTGGCATACCAGACAGATATACGGTAGTATGGCTTTACTGCATGCCCACCAGCATTGGGTTTTGTGATTTTTCTTTTCCCCAGTTGTTGCAATTTAATGGTTAACATTTTGTTTTTGCATTTCTTGGATTACTAGTAGGTTGAACATTTTCCCAAGTTTTTGTAGCTTTGGAGAATTTTGATAAGAAGAGAAAGAGTTCATGGTCATGATTAGTCAGCAAGTAACAACTTCCATGTGTACTCATGCTAGTGATGGGTACTAGAGAGAGGTAAAGACATTTGAGCGGCTCAGTGTCCTCATTCAGTTTCAGTCTGGTGGAGGGGAGAGAGGCAGGACCCTCAGATCATAGAACATGGCAGCCTGCTGAGAGGATGCCCACACATGTGGGAGCAAAAGGCTGGTTATGGGCTAGGTAGGCTGGAGAAAGGCTTGTGGTAGAATGAGGCCAGAGCTATGCTGTTCTAGGTGGGGGGAGGGCGGGGGGCTACAGTGCTACAGAGCTGTCCATCTCTGGGCAGGACAGTGCACCCTCCTGACCCATGGACAGGAAGCTTTAGTTCTAGGTGTGTTAGTCTTCTAAGGGCCTGTCAGACAGTGGCAGGTGACTAAGGCTGCCTGGGGTGGGCTGGCAGCTTGTTTCAGCAGGTGCCCAGGCTCACCCTGGTGTTGGCTTTGCAGGTGGCCTGCTTCAGCTGCACATCTGGGCAGTGGTCATCGGTCTGCCCACTTCCAGCTGGGCATGGCGAGCCCGGCATTGCCGTGCTGGACAACAGGATCTATGTGCTGGGTGGCCGCTCTCATAACCGTGGCAGCCGCACAGGTTATGTGCACATCTACGATGTGGAGAAGGACTGCTGGGATGAGGGACCCCAGCTAGATAACTCCATCTCAGGCCTGGCAGCCTGTGTGCTCACTCTTCCCCGCTCCTTGCTCAGAGAGCCGCCCCGAGGGACCCCAGACCGCAGCCAGGCTGATGTGGACTTCGCCTCTGAGGTGATGAGTGTGTCAGACTGGGAGGAATTTGACAACTCCAGCGAGGATTAGGGTTCTTCACCTGGAGTTAGGGAGGGGTTGGCAGCAAGGTCCATGGGGCTGGGGCCAGAACACCTGGCTCCAGGGTGGGGGGCCCTTCCCCAGGCCCTCATGGCTCACCCTCTCCTGGTGCCCTTTCTTCATTCCAGCCCTTGGCCAGCCTGCCACAGGTGTTTGAGGACTGCTACAGACTTTGTGGCTGTGGATTATATTATGATGGGAAATGTTCCCAAAAGGCTATCATCCTCTGAAGGAGTGACCAGGCCCTGCCCTCATTGGTGAGCCCAGAAGGGTTCCCGTCACCAGCTGTCTTGGCCTTCCCCAGATCTAGTCCTTGCTGGGATTGAGAAGGTCTCTTCTTCAAGAGGTCCTGGAGACTGGCAGCCCAGGTGATGGGGCCAAGGCACATGGTGCCCTTCTTTCTGTTAACAGGATGTGGCTTGTGAGCAGCCCACCAGCAGCCAGGGCCTTAAGGGACTGGGAGCTCACTGAGGGCAGAGAGAGAGCAGAGGCACATAAAGTTACTTGGGACTGGTTCTGGTGATGAAGAGATCCCCTACTGCTGGGTTTTTCTGATCCCATGTTGTCAGAGTAAATAAAATAAAGCATTATACAAAAGGTATTGACTGTTTTCCTGTGGCTATAGCCCTGGTTCTTTTCCACTCAGTACATCGGTGTGGCTTCTGGGGGAACATAGATTTCAGGGTCAGAACGGCCCTGGGAGATGGGTTATGGCATGGGAGCCAGGCCTCTCCTTGAGCTAAGGGGCAGGAGGTCAGGGTGCTGCCTCCCTGCCTTGGAGGGAAGCATGGTATCCCGAGCGAGCGGGAAGGGTGGCTACCTGGAACCTGGTGGCGGGGGGCGTCCCTGACTGCTTGTGCAACTTTGCAGAGGAATTCTCCCAGCCAGGGCCTGGTGAACTTCTGGCACTTACAGGCTCTTGCCAGCCTTTCTTCACTCTGGCCCCTCAGCAACCTGTCACAGGCTGCTACTGACTCTCCAGCTGTGGATTGTCACAATGAGAAATGTCCACAAAAGGCTGAGGTCCTCTGAGGGAATGACCAGGGCCTGTCCTTGTAAGGCCTAAGAGGACTTGTCACCAGCTGTCTTTCCAAGTAGAAATCTCTTAGCTGGGAGTGTGGCTCAGTGGTAGGGCACTTGCCTAGCATGTATGAGGCCCAGGGTTTGGTCCCCAGCTCTGCAAAAATGAATCATTTTGGGGCAGGGGCGAGTAAAGCCCTGGCCTGAGAGTCATGAAATGGAGCCTTGGTGTGTGATCACTGGTGGCCGTGTCGTTTTGTGCAGTCCTGACAGGGACTGCCTGTGCGCAGCCTTTCCCAACCTCCTGACTGCGTTTCCCAAAGGTTCACCAGGTGACCATCATGCACCTTGTCTCAAGGCTACATCAAACAGCAGATGGGACCTTCCCCCGCTCACCTTTAATGGTGCCTCTCCCATCCTCTCTGAGCCATCAGACATAGCCTGGACCTCCACATAGACTGGGTGGCCCACACCAATTTTGACACTTGGTCCCTTCTTCCTGCCTGAGGGTCTTCACCTGCAGACTCCTGCAAGCGTCAGCAAGAACCTGCCCTGCAGACAGGTGGGAGCTTCCCAAGGTCCTGTGCCCTCTCCTGGTCAGCAGGGAAGAGCATGGGTCCCACGAAGTCTTCACACTGGTGCCCTGTCATGGAATAGGAGACAGTGGAGGAATGGGGACAGGGAGGAGAAATCATTCACTCTGTGTTCTCCACTCTGAGGTGGAGACTTGGAGTTGATCTATCCTCAGGGCAGTATTGTGAACTTCTTCACTGTCTTGGGGCCTGGGTATACCTGAGGAAATACGGCAACACACGCAGGCAAACCCAGTGTTGATCCCCAGTGATTTACTTCCAGCTGGGCTGGATGGCTATATCCTTGTGTCACCTTCTGAGAGTGAGGTCTGAAGCCCGCTCTGTTTATTTGAGACCCAGCGTTTTCTGTGTCTCTCCCACCACCTGGTAGGCCAAGGCAGCAGGTCCTGAAGGACACCAGAGGTTTCTGGAAAGAAGTACCAGAAATGCCTGGCCACTCTCCACATGTTCTCAGCTTGCTGGCACTGTCCCCACCTAAGCCAGGTGTGGCCAAAGGCTTGTGATCTGCAGAGAAGCAGGAGTCTGCTGAGGGGGAACATGGAGATGTATGTGGAAAGTGTTCTGGCAGAGGCCGGGTGGCAGCCTTGAGGCCCTGCTCAGCATACAATACCACCTCCTCCTGCCCCTTTGCTGAGGCAGTCCTATCTGGGCCCTCTAGTAAGGCCATGTTCTCAGGCCTTGCTCTCATCCCAAATCCTCACCCTTCAAGACCTGCCTACTTCCAGAAGCCACTCTGGCCAGAAGTATTGGGCCAGAATCCAGTTTCTCAATTTGTCTGCACAATAGTTGTCTGTGGACATCTGTGAACCCCAAGCTTCTCTACCCTGGTATCCACCTAGTGCCAGGCCTTGCGGGGATGATCCTTGATTTCACCATACTTCTTAGCCACCCGCAGAGGGAGGAGCTGCCACAGGTACCGATGAAGCTCCCCCAATGTTGCCATCCACTGCAAGGTGTCTGCGAAGGGACCCATGCAGGAGGTTGTCAGGCTGAGAGGAGGCTGGGGATAGTCCTTGTCTTGAGGGAGCCACTCGACGGGTGGGTAGAGATCCAAGCCACTGAGAAGTTTCTGGTGATGGGGGAGGGGGCATTGTCTAAGTCATGCCTTTCACAGATGTCAGGGACCTTGGGGCAGGGAGTTGGTCCAGGGGAAAAGTTGGCTGAATTGGTAGTGTCAACTCACGAACTTGGGCCCAGCTGAGGTGAGCATCCCTTCTAGGCCAGAGAAGGTCAGTGCCTATAACGGTGACTCAGGAGAAACACTACAGCCACAAGTGTTGGCAATAGTTACAGGAGTTTCTATGGGAGGGGCACCCAGCCCTGGGAGGGCACTGCTGAGGTCAAGGCTGTGCCCAGGCTGAGCTACCCACTAGTGGCTGGCCTGTTCACCTGTTCCTGAGAAGTGTTTGCATTCATGACCACATTGGAAGACCTTCCCACCTCCCTCCTCCACCAGCCTGGCTAAAGGCTAAGGGAGAGGCCCTAGGTCCCACTCTCAATGTCCTGCTGCTCCTCCTTCCGTCCTCCACTGCCAGCCTGCCATTCTGCAATTCCATGGACCTGTTAGGGACTCTGGTTCTAAGCCCCATCCTCCAGCCCCACCCTCCACACACTGCCTGGACCCCTCCTCAGGGAGTCTCTGGCCCCCACCCAAGAGAAAACAGGTGCTGGCTTCCTACTCAGGCCCTCCCACCTTAAGTACTAAAAGACAAACTCCTCCTTGGTGGGTCTGGCTGCCCACAGGGAGCATTTGTGCTTCCTGCCTAGCAACGTCTGCCTATGAGCCTGAGGTGGATCTAGCCCCTCCTCCCCAGAGGAGGCCTGTAATTCTCATTCAGCTGTTCTTCTGACCTGTGCTGTTGTAACGGTGAAAGATTGAGTTCTACTGTCACCCCATGAGACTAGTGACTCAAGAGACAGTGATGGGAGGAGAAAGCTTTATTGGCAACAATCTGGCAAGATGGAGTAGAGGGTTCGTGCTGTAAAGTTCCATCTTGCCCAGGAGTCTCAGAGCTAAGTTTATATAGGGATCTGGGAGAAGTCTTTTTAGCCACAGCCAGATGGGCACCCAGAGTGGTCACTAATTCTGTAGCAAGCAGCAGCTCTGAGGAGCTTGTGGATATTATCTTAAGGTCACCAGACATCTCTGATTCCTGCAAATCTGAAGAAAGATTACTGACCTGGGGTAGGGGGTCTAAGATTGGAATTTTCTTGTTCCCCCTTTCTCTGGGAAGACTCACTCTAGGTTATTTAAGGAGCGAGGTACAGAAGTAAAGTGAAAACCAGATTTGCTAGGGTCAAATTAACCCATTTAGTGCTTCACTGTCATCCCACCTGTAGTGTTGCAGAGGTTTCCACTCTCCACCTTCTGGACCTTTCCCTCTAGGAAACCAACAGCCTTCTCAAACAGCCTGTCTTGGGTTCCCCTGTTCCTTTTCACTCCTTGACCAGGGATCCTGGGTTTGTCCCTATTTTCATGTCCCCTTCCTCTGCATTTACCTCCACATTCTGTTAAGAGGCCAAGGCTGGGCCAGTTTACCTCCATCTCTCCTGTCTGTCCCTACAGGGAGCCCCCCCTACCCTTTCACCGGCCTCTGGTCCAGACCGAATCTACCCACAGGCGTCCAGCATCTTGCTTAGTTGGTCCCTTGCGCTTATTACTAGAACCCAGGGGTGGGCTTATGGCCCAGGGCCTTTTTAAGGTCACCTTCCCCTGTCCGATTCCAAGGCGCGCTGGAGTGGGGGCAGGAGTTGTCGCGTCGCGTCCCCCGCCCCCTTCCAGCCCAGGGCTTGGCTGCGCAGTGTGAACGCAGGGGCGGCCGCTCGGGTGGGTGTCTGGGGAGAGGAGGGAAAGGCGCGGGAACAGGGCACTCCTTCGGTGGGCCCCTCCCTTCCCCGACGCGCGGCGGGCTGCCTTCAAGTTCGCCCTCAAGTTTTGGAGTGGCCAGGTGGGGGCGGGGGCCGCGCGGAGGGGCGGTGGCGCGGCCTGAGGGTGGGGTCTGGCGCACGGGGCGGGCGCTGCCGCCTGGCCGGCCGCGGCTGGCCCGGGATCAGGGAGCCGATGTGGAATTTCCTGCCCGGCCCGGCGCCCCTCCTGCCGCCCCCCGCCCGGCCTCGCACTCCGCTTCCGGCCGCTCTCGCTGCGGCCGCACCCGCGCCCGCGCCCACCCGCGCCTGCCCCGCGCCGCATGGAGGGCGCAGGGCCCCGGGGGGCCGGGCCGGCGCGGCGCCAGGGAGTCGGAGGTCCGTCGTCCCCGCTGTTGCTGCTGCTCTGGCTGCTGTCCGGCCTCGCGGCGTCCCAGGAGTTGAACCCGCGAGGCCGCAACGTGTGCCGCGCGCCCGGGTAGGAGCCTGGCCTGGCTGGGGGAGGGGAGAGAGGGGGGCTCTCGGGGGGGACCGGGCGGGGGGCGGGGGCGATGCTTGGCATTGGTGGGGGGGCGCCTGCGCGAGCCCCTCGGGCAGCCCTCGCCAATGCCAGTTCCGTTCCAGGCCGAGCCTGGACTCCCAGGCCACGATGATGCATCACGGATACCCTGGACCAGAGTCACTTGAAGGGATAACGGAGTTCTGTGGACGCCCAAAGGGGTGACACATGGTGTCTGAGATTTCAGGAAAGATCCCCTAAAAGCGACTCGTGGGTTGGATTATGAGGGCCATGGGGAGAAGTCGAGGAAGGGCATTCCAAGCAGAAGGAACAGCATGTGCAAAGGCTCGGGACACGAGTGGTTGGAGCCTCGAGTGGGAGGCGAGGGAAGGGGCCAAGTGACGAGCGGCGCTCCGGAGAGGTGGGAGCCAGGAAAGTCTTGAAGGGGGCGAAACGTGGACAGATTCGTCTTAGAAAGAGCCCGCGACGTTGGGAGGAGGATGGTGGTGGAGGTGAGCATTGAGGATTAGGAGTTCAGAATGGACCAGAAACAGGAGTCGAGAGGACAACGATGACTGGGGACCGGAGGATGTCGGAACCCCTGGAGAGTCTCAGGGGGAGGGGGTGATACCGGGTGGACAGAGGGGCAGTTCAAAGGGGGATCGCCACAAGAGGCCGGTTGGGAAAGCTGGTGTGGGACGAGCAGGGGACAGGCCCAGCCTAGAGAGCGGTGGGCCCGGGAGCTTTGGTGGAGGGCAAAGACAAGGACAAGACGCCAGGAGCGGGCGCAGGAGTCAAGGGACCTGTCTGCTGGTCAGAGGCCACGGCGAGGTCAAGGGCATCGCTGCTCTGCGGGGAGGAGAGGATGTGTGGGGACGGCTTGGCGGGTGCTGGGGGGCGCCGCACCCGCGGGCAGCTGGAGAGGCAGCCGTGGGACTCCGGACTGGGTCCCCTGGGACGCGCTAGGTTGCAAGACCGGGGGAGGCTGAGATCACGTTCAAGGGTTTGGGGGGGATCAAGGTAGAAAAGGGGCATTAGGGGGCCGCACGGGGTTTCCGAACTCGGGTCGGGAGGCGCGAAGACCCCTCCCCGCCGCGAGCCCCGCCTCCGAGGCGGGGGCCGGCCTGGCCCGCCATCTGCTTCGCATCGACGCCGCAGCCACCGCCGCCTCCCGGGCCTCCCCGGCCCCAGGAATGCGGCGGCGGCGGCGGCGGCGGCGGCGGCGGGCGGGGCCGTGCCTGGAGAGGGGGAGGGCGCGATGGCCGCCGAGCTCTGTCTACCCGCCCCGGGCCTCTTCCCCCGATCCGGCTGGGTCCAGGGATGGGGATCCGGTGGCAGCATGGAGCTGTTGGGAGCTGGAACTGGACGGCCTTTGACTCCCGCTCTCCTTGACCTCCTCTGGAGGCGGACAGTTTCTATAACCAAGAGCCTGGGTTTGCGTTCAAGGTCGTGCCAGCGCTTCCCAGCCGTGCGGAACTGGGCAAATCCTTAACCTTTTTGGGCTTTTCTCCACCTCTGCAAAGTGGGATTGGTGATGGGACGAAACCACATCACATCACGAGGTTTAGATTACCGTGATCATGTTGTGGAGAGGGTTCATGGGAAGGACAGGTCACTCTGGACACTGCCACCTAGGGTCTGGACCATCTCTTTTGTTATCCTGGCAAGAGAGAGGGGTGTGCACTGAGCCAGGAACAGTGACAGCAGCAGCAGCAGAGACCACGCTCTTGTGCCACTCCTGTGCGGGTGCAGGAGGGGTTCTTACAACCCAGGAAGCACGTGGGTCTAGACATCTAGACCCACATCTAGGAGGTGTTGAGTGCTGTTTCCTTGGAGGGTAATACGAGGAGACCCAGTGAGAAGTGTGAGTGAGCACAGGCCACAGGAGAGGAGAGTGCCCATTCCAAAGGGCACCTTGGAAACAGTAAGGACCTTTGGGGCTGCAGAGCCCAGGAGAGCACAAAAATCTGCCCACTGGTTTGAGGACTTGGGCTCTCTTAGGGCTGTGGGTAACTGGGCTTTGCTAGGGGGAAGTGTGGATCTGTCCAGGCTTGGCTTCCAGGTGGTGGGTGCAGTGGGAGGCAGGAGGGTAGAAGCTGGGGCCAGCTAGAAGACACTTAGAGACACCACAGAAATGGAAGGTGGCTCTCTGAAGGCTGCAGCAGGGCAAGGGTGAATTGGTCTCAACCTAGATGTGGTTTGGAAGAGAAAGCAGGTAGATTTCTCAGTGGATCCAGTGTGGCCATGAGAGGGAAGTAACAGATGCCTCCTGGGTCCCAGCTTCCAAGCCTGGAAAGATAGAGATGAGCTGAGATGGAGAAGAATTGAGGTATAGAGGTCAGGAGGCCAGTTTTGAGAAATCCCCCAGTTCTCCTTGTGGTTACACAGTCCAGTGGGCAGTTGGATTTGCAAATCTGGCATTTAGGGGGAGGGTCCCATTGGAGCTCCTTGAAGAAACCAGTGTAGACAGAATTGAGGACAGGAGTGATCTGAGGATGGCAACAGAAACTGGAGGAGAGGTGTCCTGGGGGCAGAAGGAGAGCCCAATAGGTGGGTTTCCAGGTGGCAGTGCTGCAGGCAAAGAAGCCTCCCTGGCTGGGTTTGGGAGTGAACAAGGTCAGGCATGGATACAAAGAGCTGATTCTAAGATGGGAGAAATCACAATAGGTTTGCTTACAGCAGGAAGAGTGAGCTCTAGAGAGGCAGCCTGCAGCTTCCCAAGGTCTCACCCACTTAGAGCAAGCTGGAGAGTGCACCCTGCACCAGATGTCTTTCTCCACAACACCTTTGTAAGATGGTGAGCAAGTTGACTTGCCAGCCCAACCTGGGTTTTTCCGCCAACCTTTCCAAGAAGGAGACATTCTTGTTCTTGGTGAACCCAAATGGACTCTGTCCGCTGGTGGTGAGGCCTGGGTGCCCACCATGCTGGGGGTGACCAACTATACTCAGAGGCTTCCAGAATTCCTAGGGTCTGCGTGGGCTAGAGAGCAGACAGTGAAGTCAACCACAACCATGACAGAGCTCTTGTTCACTGCCCACATCATGATTCTATTAACCCTTCTGCCAAATCCACGAGCCCCATTCTACATAGTCAAGAAGCTTACAGCTCCGAGACGTTAAGTTGCTTGCCTGAGGTCACACAGCAAGTGACAGAGCCGGATATGAAGCCCAGTTGAGGGTAGTCCTAAAACCAGGCTCCTAGTCACAGAGTCATGTACCAGGCTATCTAACAAAGAGGGGGGTGTTACTGGGGCCATCTGGCAAAACTGCTTGCAAGTGGGACAACTGGGGAGGATCTCCATCCAGAGACCAGAGTTCAAAACCAGACAGAATTGAGTGGGGGTGGGTTGGTGGAATTCTGTCACCCTGCAGATGGGTTCCTTGAAGCCTCTGAGTCTGGGCTGGCTGGGTGGAGACAAAGGGGGAGGGGGCATAGGGAGATTCATGCCTGATTGATTTCCAGTTTTACTTGTGGATAATATGCTGGGCCCATTCCCCTGATTTGGGATTTTATGGGCCCTCTTCCCCAGGTCCCGACTTTGGCCTAGGAGAGGGAGAACCAAGCTCTTTTGGGTGGAAAGTGGACTTTCTTGGGGCCTTGGAGCCCTGTTCACAGTGTGGGAATTATGCCAAGTTTATCCCAAGACCTCTTCTGCAGTCTAGGCAGGAGTGCAGGGAATGGTGTGGGGAGGCTTCAGCCTTTCCCTTCACTCTGTCCCACCCCACCAGGTCGTGGTTCTCCCACCATCACATCCTGATTCTAGATTCTGAACACACACTCCTTTTCTCTAAAGAGTAAATGGTTGCTGCATTCCTATAGGGTTGAGGCAAAATTCTTCTAGGTTTGATGTGACAGTGGAAACCTGCAGCCTCAGTGGCTGTCCAGGTTCAGCCTCCTTTGCCTCCCAACCATGGTTGGGCGCTCCAGGGGTGCAGTGGGCCTCCACACCTTTGTACCCACACACCCTTCCTCTTGGGGCTTTTGAGGCCACACCACTCGACCGACATGCTGTAATTAGTATGAATTTATTTATTGTTATTTTTATTGGTGGGCCTCACACTTGGTAAGCAGGCGCTGTACGGCTTCAGTCACTATGCCAGCAGAAATGCCTGGGTGGGTAGCGTGGTGGTGTGGAACACTTATCTAGCATGTGTCAGGCTCTGGGACAAGCCGCAGTATGTCCCCCCTCCAAAAAAACCCTACAGTGGCAACACTGTGTACTTTGGAAAGACAAATAAAATTAAACATGAGGAAAACAAATACAGGTAGATTCTCCAATCTCTCCTCCCTCCCCCTGAAGTCCTACCCTGGTGTTCTGGGCCCTCAGTTTTATTTTTCCTTGTGTCCGTGGAGGACTCTGTGTGTTCATTCCCCACAGCAGGCGGGAGTGCCCCCTAGGGCACTCCCTAGGTTTGTCTCTCTGTTCCAGCCTATCCTGGAGCCATCCCAGTCATTGACACTTGTCTGGCCAGGCCACCAGCTCCAAGAGATGCCCTAGACCCCAGTTGAGCAGGACCCAGAGGCCAGGGTCTCCTCCCTAGTCCCTACCCTAATGCTGCCCTCTGGCACTCACAGGGCCCTTTCTTTAGTCTAGTGGCTGGCAGAAGAGCACAGAGGTGGGATGAGGGGGTGGATGGGGTGGGGCTGAAAGTTCTCAGAGGTGAGCTTTTTGTGGTGCGCTCAATGCCCCCTTCCAGTGTCAACTCCCTGAGCGTCGGAATTTGTGTTTTTCTTATTCACTCTGAGTCTTCCGCACCTACAACAGTGCCTGGCACACGGCATTGTATCTGCATCCCTAGGTCGGCACCCAGGGAGGCCACGTGGAGGCTGCTGGGGAACCCTGAGCTGATTAGGGATTGGCTGATGGGAGGGAGGTCAAGCTGTGTTTCTCCCTCTGCTCGCAGTTCCCAGGTGCCCACGTGCTGCGCTGGTTGGAGGCAGCAGGGGGACGAGTGTGGGATCGGTGAGTGGGGCATCCCGGGAACTTGGGCGGGCGGGTCTTGGGAGAAGGTGGGAAGAACACGCGCGACAGCTCACCCCCCTTTTGTCCGCAGCGGTGTGCGAAGGCAACTCCACGTGTTCAGAGAACGAGGTGTGCGTGCGGCCCGGGGAGTGCCGCTGCCGCCACGGCTACTTCGGTGCCAACTGCGACACTAGTGAGCGCGGGGCGGGACGAGACGGGTACTGGGCAGCGGGACAGGAAATTGGGGAGATGGGCGGGGCCTCAGCAAGGAGGCGGGTTCCGGGTGGGGCGAATTCCTTAGACGTGGGGGTGGAGGGCGTGCCGCCCGCACAAACCACAGAGCCACGCATCCTCTGGTCCTTGCAGAGTGTCCGCGCCAGTTCTGGGGTCCCGACTGCAAGGAGCGGTGTAGTTGCCACCCGCACGGGCAGTGTGAGGACGTGACGGGCCAGTGTACGTGTCACGCGCGGCGCTGGGGCGCGCGCTGCGAGCATGCGTGCCAGTGCCAACATGGCACGTGCCACCCGCGGAGCGGCGCATGTCGCTGTGAGCCCGGCTGGTGGGGCGCTCAGTGCGCCAGCGCGTGCTACTGCAGCGCCACGTCTCGCTGCGACCCACAGACTGGCGCCTGCCTGTGCCACGCTGGCTGGTGGGGCCGCAGCTGCAACAATCAGTGCGCCTGCAATTCGTCGCCCTGCGAGCAGCAAAGTGGCCGCTGCCAGTGCCGCGAGCGCACGTTTGGCGCTCGCTGTGATCGTTATTGCCAGTGCTTCCGCGGCCGCTGCCACCCTGTGGACGGCACGTGCGCCTGCGAGCCGGGTTACCGCGGCAAGTACTGTCGCGAGCCGTGCCCTGCCGGCTTCTATGGCTTGGGCTGTCGCCGCCGGTAAGCCTGGGGCCCCGGTGTTGGGGGGAGGGGCGCGGAGGGAAAAGAGCGGGCCACTGATGGGGCGGGGATGAGGCGGGTCCCCGCCCCGCCTAGCTTCCGGACCCTTCCCTAGGTGCGGCCAGTGCAAGGGCCAGCAGCCATGCACTGTAGCCGAGGGCCGCTGCCTGACCTGTGAGTCCGGCTGGAACGGAACCAAATGCGACCAGCCGTGCGCCACCGGCTTCTACGGCGAAGGCTGTGGCCACCGCTGCCCGCCCTGCCGCGACGGGCATGCCTGCAACCATGTCACCGGCAAATGTACGCGATGCAACGCGGGCTGGATAGGCGACCGGTGAGCAGCCTGCCCCTGGCCTCGGCCCAAACACGCAGCCCCACAGTCCTGCCCTGGCCCAGACCCGCCTTGGAGGGCTTTGTGGGATTCGGATCCGTTCACCTCCATTTCTGCTGACACCTCCTTCTGCTCTGTCTAAGGTGCGAGACCAAGTGCAGCAATGGCACTTACGGCGAGGACTGTGCCTTTGTGTGCGCCGACTGCGGCAGCGGCCACTGTGACTTCCAGTCTGGGCGCTGCCTTTGCAGCCCTGGTGTCCACGGGCCTCAGTGAGTGCCCTGGGACCTGGAAGGGGTTAGGGGGTATGTACCCGACACTGGGAGCTGCAGTCAGACCTCAGGGGCTGACCAGGTGGGATCAGGCTGGCCTCTCCGCTCCTTGGCCCCTAACTCCAATTAGGGAGTAGCAACAGGTTCTTTGGGGGCAGTCTCCTGACGCTCAGACTGGGATCTAGCTAAGTGGGCTCTTGCAGTGACCCAGATCTAGTGTAGCGCAGTAGGGACCTCCATTTACAGTCAGTAGTCTGGACCGAAAGCCCCTCTTCCCATCTACACAACAGTCAGCCTCAGAAAAGACCTCACCAGATGGCCAGGTCTCATCCTCAAGACCCTGCTCTAAAGATGATGCATACGTTCATGTCCAAAATATTATCTAGTGTGTGCCTGGCCGCAGGAGGGAGTGGGCTTCAATCCCTAAGACGGGAGCTTGGGACCAGCGACTGTGGCGGGAGGCTGAGGGCCACTTCGGCCTGCCCTGACCCCATGCTCCCGCAGCTGTAATGTAACTTGCCCACCCGGACTCCACGGCGTGGACTGTGCCCAGGCCTGCAGCTGCCACGAGGACTCATGCGACCCAGTTACTGGTGCCTGCCGCCTGGGTGAGTGGGTGAGGGTCATCGGGTTAAGGAGCGAGGGGGATGCGGGTACCCGCGCTGACTCGGTACCCCCACAGAGACCAACCAGCGCAAAGGAGTAATGGGAGCGGGCGCACTTCTCACCCTGCTCCTTGGTCTGCTGCTCTCGCTGCTCGGATGCTGCTGCGCCTGCCGAGGCAAGGACCCGGCTCGCAGGTGAGACTGGACACCGCCCACCTGTCCACGTGGTTCAGGACTCACCCTTTCTCCGGCGCATCCTGCCCTTCCAGGGCCCAAATCCCGCCCTTTTCAGTTCCCACCAAGCTCGACCCGCCCCGCCCAGTCCCGTCCCTTCGCTCAGGCCCCGCCTCCGCAGGGAGCTGTCTCTTGGAAGGAAGAAGGCCCCGCAACGCCTGTGCGGGCGCTTCAGCCGCATCAGCATGAAGCTGCCCCGAATCCCGCTCCGCAGGCAGAAGCTGCCCAAAGTCGTAGGTAAGGATGAGGGAGCGGGGTGTGTGTGGAAGGCGGCGTAGGGGACCTGTGAGTGACTGCATCACGATCGTGTGGATGACACTTGAACCTGATAGGCTGCTGTAGAACCGCACCGTACATCCTTCTCGGTTGGAGCTGTAGGAGAATGCGTGGGAATGTCTGGCTGCAAACTGATCCTTTCCTGGAAAGCAGCAGGCTGGTCCCTGGACACCCCAAGGGGCCACGGGTGGGGGTCTTGCTGCTCCTCCTTGTGTTGGCGCAGAACCAGGGTGGACCCAGCTTTTCACTTGTTTCTGAAGATTGCTGGGGCACATTCAGGCTCTTGGGAGGTAAAGGGGATAGTGAGAAAACCTTTTGGTCAACCCAGCAGCATCTGTGGACACATTTTCGGGGCTGCATCCCCACACCTCTGTGGAATGGAGATCGCCATTGTGGGGACCCCCACAATGTGGGGTCTTCATCCCTGGTGGTCAGGCCTGGGAGGTGCCTGCTGCTGAGAACGGCTGAGCCTAAGGGCTTTGACATTGCATAGTCTCAAAAGCGCTCTCTGCATGGCCCAAGTCCTACAAAACAGAATCCAAAGCATGGCTTGGAAGTCCTGGTGACTTGTCCTGGCCAAGTGTTCTCTCCAGCTGTCTCTCTGACCTTTTCCCAACACTTTAGCCCAACCTTTTCCAGCTTCCTGGCTGCATACACTTGCCTTGCATCTTTACATACATTGATTGTCCCTTCTCGTCTTTCTGTACTGGGCCCGCTGTTACCCATTCTTTTGCCTTGGTCTAGGGTCACTCTGTCTGTTGAATTTCTTGTTCCCTCAGCAGTCTTAGGGTAGGGTTGGTCTTGATCACTCCATTCTTTTTGGCTAATGAGGGCACAAGCTGGGGCAAGGCAGGGCCCCTGACAGTTCTGCCTCACTCCTTCCCCAGTGGCCCATCACGACCTGGACAACACACTCAACTGCAGCTTCCTGGAACCACCCTCAGGACTGGAGCAGCCGTCACCATCGTGGTCCTCCAGGGCCTCCTTCTCGTCCTTTGACACCACGGATGAAGGCCCCGTGTACTGTGTACCCCACGAGGGTGAGTATGGCCTTGCTTGTGTATCTTTTCAGCCCTGTGAAATGCTCCTGCTATAAGATCTCTGCTGGATGTGGGGACAGACAGTGCAGCGAGCACGGTCATGGTGGTTCTGTGAACTGGCAGCTACAGAGCTGGACTCTGCTGTTCTGGGCTGGGCTGGGGCCTGATTAGATGAGTGGCCCTGTTACTAGTCATGGGCCCAGTTCACTTTTGGGGGAAACCAGGCAGAGAGAAATTTCTGGGCCTGGGTAGGGAGTGGCAGAGGAGATAGGAGCAGGAATCCGTAGTGTAGCAAGATGGACCTTTGCTTGTAGCCTTGTGAGCACAGACAGCAGGAGGGAGGCTGAATGGTTGGATTGCTGGCCTCTCTTTTCCCTTGTCCATATCTTGGTGACCTTGAGCGGGTCACTAACCAGGAGTCTCAGAAGGCTTACTACTTAAAAGATGTGGAAACCCCTTGGGGGATCCAATTTGATGACGGTGGACCCAGAGGCAGGGGAAGGGACTGTGGTGGGGAAGGGACACAAAGTCAGGCCCAAAAAAACGTGTCCCTCACCGCCCCCAGCAATCACCAGCACAGCCTGGGGCTCAGAAAACTAAGCTTGTGGTTGGTGCCCAGTGCACTAGGCCCGCCTGGATGCCAGGGCGACCCAGCGTCAGGCCTGGACTCGGGAAGGAAGGTTGCTCGCTCCAGAGCGATTCCTGGGGGTTTGACCGGCTGCTCTCCCCTTGTTAGAGGCGGCCGCCGAAAGCCGAGACCCGGAGGCCACCGCCGCTGCTCCTGCCGAGGCGCCCGCGCCTTCCCCCGCGCCCGCGCCATACGCAGAGGAGGCGACACCCGTCCCCGCGTCCTCTGACAGCGAGCGGTCCGCGTCCAGCGTGGAGGGGCCCGGCGGGGCACTGTACGCACGCGTGGCGCGGCGCGAGGCCCGGCCGGCCCGGGCCCGGGGTGAGGCTGGGGGCTTGTCGCTGTCGCCATCGCCTGAGCGCAGAAAGCCGCCGCCACCTGACCCTGCCACCAAGCCCAAGGTGTCCTGGATCCACGGCAAGCACGGCGCCGCCACCGCGGTCCGTGCTCCCTCGCCGCCACTCCCGGGCCCCGAGGCTGCGCCCAGCCCCAGCAAGAGGAAAAGGACACCGAGCGACACGTCGGCGCGGCCAGACGAGCCCGGAAGCCCCCGTACCCGCGATCTGACGCTGAAGCCCCCCGGGCTGGCCGAGGAGACACCGGCCCTGGCCGTGCCCTCGCCGCCCAGGGCCCGACTAAGAGGCCACGGCTCCGGTCTCTCGGAAACTACGGACGCCGGTGGTCCCCCGCGCAGCGCGCCCGAGGCCGCGTCCATGCTGGCGGCGGAGCTGCGCGGCAAGACTCGCAGCCTGGGCCGCGCGGAGGGAGCCCTGGGCGCACAGGGCCCCTGGGAGAAGCCGGCGCCACCGCAGAAGGCCAAACGGTCGGTGCCGCCCGCCTCGCCGGCCCGCGCGTCCCCTGCTCCCGAGGTCACAGGGCCCGAGAAGGCGGCGGCCGGCACGCCGGCGCCCGACACCCCTCGGAAGAAGACCCCCATCCAGAAGCCGCCCCGCAAGAAGAGCAGGGAGGCGGCAGGCGAGCTGGGTAGGGTGGGCGCACCCACTCTCTAGTAGGGGTTCAGCTGCGCACACAGCTTCCCCCGGCTTAGCAGCGTTGCTTGCCACCCCGCGCTCAGCGCCTCACGTCTCCCACGCGGCCTGGACACTGGAAGCCTCCCATTGGCCGAGGCCCCGAGCGGCACGGCGGGGAGGCTGTGTCTGATTGGCTCGGGCTCCAGCAGCTGCTTCTTGATTGGAGTAGAGCTCAGGCGAGAAGTTCCCTATCCTATTGGTCGAGGCCTGCAGGCAACTCCCTTCCCCATTTGCCGAGTTATGAAGCTTTCCACCAACCCGCGTCTCATTGGCCAAGGCTTAGGGACCTCCTCTTACCGGCCAAGAGTGCTCATGGCTGGGGCTTCCTTTTCATTGGCTAAGGCCAGAAACCCTTCTGCCCTGGCTGCTTCTCATTGGCCAGGGCCTGGTGCCTCTGGCTGGAGGTTCCCTTTCTTGGTAGCCAGCGGCTACCACCAACCGGGCTTTAGGGCATCTGGTTGACCCCGAGCCTGGGGGGGAGGGCTGGTCTCTGCTCCTCGGGGAACTTGGCACCCCCTTGGCGTGTCCCATTCCTTCTCTCCCCAGTGTCCCCAGCCCTGGTCCCTCAGCTGTCGAGCTGGTTTTGATGGCCTCCCACCACCCCACACGCTGTGGGAACCCCAGGGGCGACCCTAGTGGCCTGAGGAGATGTATTTATAGGCCCCCGGCAGGGCTTCTCTCATCCCACCTGGGGACCCCAGGATGGGCTCCTCCCAGCAGGGTCTTGGCCAAAGCTTTCTTAATAAAGTGCCTTTTTTTTTTTTTCCTTCTGAGCTCTGATTACTCCCTGCCTGCAGACTCAAGACAAAAATGTTCCAAAGATGTGATCTCTTCCAGTATGCATGCACTCCGAGGATCCCTCAGCCTACGTCCAACGCTAGAGCTCCAGGGACCACGTTGACAGTGGGCTGTGTCCACCTGTCTGTCGTTCTTAGTGGAGTTTATGGGGCCCCTGCCCTGGCCAGCCCATTCTCAACTGCTCACCTGGTAGGAAGAATGGGTCAGAACAGATGCAGGCTGTCTCTTGGCTGGAATGGGCTGGGCAAGGGATGGGGAGCCTCTGATGGGGACCTCTCCCACTGGGCTGCCACTGTTAAACCTGGAGGTCAGAGTTGTTTGGGGTGGGCCCGAGGCCGGGGCCAGGGGCCAGTGGGCCGCAGGCTCAGCCTCCAGCCAGGCCTCATGTGGCACAAACAAGACAGTCTGCCGCTGCACAGAGCCCTGCTGTCTACCTCAATGGGCTCCTTGTCTTCAGCCGGAAACTCTTCACCCGCCTGCCTGCTGGAGAGGTGGAGGGGAGAGGGAGCTGGAGCCTGCCTGGCCCAGAGCCCCTGCCTCCAACTCCTGCCAGCCTTGGCCACACCACCCTCCGGGCTGGCTTTCCTCTGACCAGTTGTCGCAGGTACTTTCATGCTCCAGCCTGTCCTCCTAAGTGGCCACAGACCCTTATCTTTCCATGGTTCCCACTGACCTCTGGAAGATTCCAGAAACTAAGTCTGTTCTTCTCCATCTCTGCCTCTGTCCGGCGGGCCCCAGGCCATTCTCTCCAGCTTTTGTTGCCCAGTTCAGTCTTCTGATTCTGCTGAGATCTGCCCAGCCTTCAGTCCAGCTCTGTTGTCTCTCTACAACAGAAGACCCTTGGCCTGCTCAGGGACTCCCCCTCTGTCCAGATAACACATTGAGGTCAACTTTGGTCACATGTGCAGGGGCTCAGCCATCTGAGTGGAGATAGCCAACTGCCATAGAGGAGACAGGAACAACTGACAGGCATTTGGTCTCTGCCCCTGGCTGGGTCAGGCAGCATGTGGATTGAGGGCTGCCAGTTTCTTGGCCACAATGACTTCCCTCGAGCCAGCCAGGCACCCTCCCAGCTTAGCCCTGTGGCTGGCTGGCCTCTGCCTCCTTCAGGCACCAGGCCATGCAAGCTGCTGGGGCTGAGGACACAGGCACAAAGTCAGCCAGGACAGTAAGAGGAGGACAATCACTTTTGTGGGGGTCCAGGCCCCCCCAGAGCTATTACACCATCATGCTGCCTCTCCCTTACCCAGCACCCCTAGCTCTTGCTCCCCCACTCCCCAAGTGGGGAGTCTGTGATTTGGGGGAGTGCAGGTGTGTCTCAATGACTGGGCTCTCCTGGGGCCTCCCCTCCCTCTGCCCTGGAAACCCCCAAGCATCTGAGGCCTAACCGGCAAAAGCCCTTCTGTGGACAACTTCCGGAGCAAAGATCGCCTGACACACACACACACACACACACACACACACACACACACACACACACACACACACACACACACCCCCAGCAGCCAGTCTGTGCTGCCTGTCTCCCCAGGAGGGTCCCCCAACTGTCTTCTGCCGTCCCTGCCACCCGCTCTCCCCACCCCCACCGCTTGCAGCAGTGCCAGCTCCCAGGGCAGGCGCCACAAAAGGGAACCGCAGCTGCTGGAACCTCCGTTGCCATGGGGATGGGGACCACAGGACCCACATCTGGTAGCGATTGAGGAGGAAAAATTATGAGTCGTGGAAAACGCAAATATTTTTTGTAGCACAGAGCACAAAGGAATGTGGGGACTGGAGAGGGGCCTGGGCCCAGTCTGGTTTCCAACAGGGACGCGGCACACGTCACACAGACAGGACAGGGTACACACAACGCACACCGCCAAACCAGCAGTTGCTCGCCCTGTATCACAAACACGTTTACACTAGCCAAAAACATCAACCTCAACGTGAAACACAGGCAAACACACAAGCTACCAGAGCCCCAGAAATGCAGAGAGCCATGTGTACCCCCACACACAACTGGACCCAAAGACACAGAGAGATACCTGCCAATGAGCACACAGATGTACCTAGACACACACAACCCTCTGCTAGACAGAAACAGATGCTCACTGTCCAGCATAAATGCATGATCTGCCACTCACAAACACAGCAACACTGCACACGTGCACTGACGGACACACACGGAAACACACACACATTTCCAGCCAGCACACAACTCACAGAAACACAAAGGCACACGCTGCAATGCACAGTATATCCGGGTGACATCGGAACATAGAGGCAAATACCCTTGAAGCACACAGACTTAGCCAGATACAGCAAAACCAGAAGCAGCCACATATCACACAAACGTATACGTGCATCACCTGCACCCTGAGACACCAAGAAACACACATTCCCTGTACTACACACACAATCCGTGACACACTGAAAAACAAAAAAGAGGAAAATACGGGTCCCACAAACACACTTCCTCCACCAGACACAGAAATATGAGATGACACATTGCAACACACTCATCAAACACACAACACACCGCATGCACATGTCACCAGACAAAACATCCTCGTGTACCTGCACCCCGCCCACCGACAGGAACACCCCTCATCCTGAGAAATACTCATGCCACCATCATCTGACACTCGTCAACATCACGACCCCCCAACAATACCCAGCTTCCACTAGTGACACACACAACACCCCGCCAGACACACAAAGACACAGTGACACACCCCCGCAACCCACACATGCTCTGCCAGAGCCATCTGAACACTTAGATATTCACTAGCAACACACACCACAGAAGCACTGAGACACACACATTACACAGAACCACAGAAACAGAAACACACACCAGGATATGCACCCAGCATGGAAGAATCACCCGGATGTATACCCTGCAACCAACACATGCGCTCCACCAGGCTCAGCTATAAGGAGCTGGGTACCTACCTTACAACACGTGCACACTCTGCTCAGACACACACACACACCTGATGCACAGACACACAAACACCAAGGAGCACACCAATTCCACAGGCAAACAGAAATACAGAGACAGACATCCTGCAACAAGTACACACAGCACCCTGGAGCTAAGTAGGGGACTAGCCCTCCCTCTAAAACCCACACACTGCAGCAGACTCAGACACACAGTGGATACACACACACACAGTTGTCCAAACAGGCACACTGAGGTGTGAAATTCATCTGAGCCACGTGCTCCAGAAAAGCTGGATGGGTAAGAAATCCCCCCGCCTCCCACCGCTTCTTTCATGCTCTGACAAAAGGTGAAACAGAACCACATCTATTCCAAGACTTGCCCTGAATAAGGCACTTCCTGCAATTTGGGTGCCCTGATGTGGCCTGGACTGGCCTGGCCTCCCGATTCCTGATGTACTTGGGCAGGGATTATAGGCATGTATCCAGCTTGTTTTTGGTGGTACTGGTGTTTGAACTCGGTACTCTATGCTTGAGCCACATCTCCAATCAAATACCTGCCTTGTTTTTGAGATAGGGTCTTCCTAAACTTTTTGCCCAGGATGACCTCCAACTATGATCCTCCTATCTCCACCCCCCCCACCACCACCCTGAAGTAGTTGGGTGATTTGGATTCCCTTTACGTACTTATTTGACTTCTGGGGTTGGATTCTTCTCCATCTTCATCCCCTTCTCCTTCTCCTTCTCCTTCTCTTTCTCCCCTTTCCCCTCTCCCTCCCCCTCTCCCTTTTCTGCCTTCTTTATGGTACTGGGGTTTGAACCTCCTACTTACTAAGCAAGCTCTATAGCCATCTGAGCCATATCCCAGTCCTTTTTGGCTTTAGTTATTTTTTTAGATAGGGTCTCACATTTTTTGCCCAAGGCTGGCCTCAGATAGTGATCTTCCTACCTATGGCCTCCCTTGTAGCTGGGACCACAGACTCATGCTACTGCATCCAGCTTATTTGTTGAGATGGGGTTTCCTTAACTTTTTGCCCAGGCTGGCCTTGAACCATGATGCTCCTAATCTCTACCTCTGAGTATGGGGCTACATTCTTTTGGTTTCCTAGCCTTACCACTTGGTGATCTTTTTGAATAGACTAATGGTTTGTATAGGTCTGTCTCAGTTGAGTGAGAGCCCTCAGAGTATATGGCTTTTGAGTCTTTTCTGCTTGCTTGCTTTTTGCAGTACTGGGTTTGAACTCCACCCCACCAGTCCTTTTTTGTGAAGGGTTTTCTTGAGATAGGATCTCGTGAACTATTTGCCTGGACTGGCTTTGAACCTCGATCCTCCTAATTTCTGTCTCCTGGGTAGT